TTTTTTTTTTTTTTTTTTTTTTTTGAGATGGAGTTTTGGCTCTTGTCACTCAGGCTGGAATGCAATGGCATGATCTTGGCTCACTGCAACCTCCGCCTCCTGGATTCAAGTGATTCTCCCACCTCAGCCTCGTGAGTAGCTGCGATTACAGGCACCCACCATCATGCCCAGCTAATTTTTATATTTTTAGTAAAGATAAGGTTTCGCCATGTTAGCCAGGCTGTTCTTGAACTCCTGACCTTGTGATCTGCCTACCGTGGCCTCCCAAAGTGCTAGGATTCCAGGCGTGGGCCATTGCGCCCGGTGAGCATAACGCCTCTCTTGCAGAACCGTTGAGAAGACTGGCTGATGTATACACAGCATTGTGCACAACTGTACACAATACAAGGTAGCCTGAAATAACAGTCACCACAATCAGCCAACTGCCGTGATCCAGTGATTCCTAAGAGGACGGCAGTTATAAGAAAGACAACCAGCGAGGTGCTAAGCATGTTAAGTGACTACTAACCAGGCTCAGAAGTTGTAAACATGGCCCAGGATGGAGAGTGGCAAGAACCAGGTAAGTTCTTGCCTTTATTAAGAGTAGATGCTAGGGATGGTGCGCTACCAGTCCATCATAAACGAATGAAGAGCCCCTTGTGACAGGACCCGGTGGCAATCAGAGTAACAATCTAGACCACGCTTACAAGCAAGGCACTGTGCAAAGTGTTTCGTGCACAGATTAACTCATTTAGCTTTACAGTGATGTTGTTATCCTCATTTCATGATGAGCAAGGAAGTGGGGCATGGAGAAGCTAAGCACCTTCCCCAGGGTCACACAGCCAGGCACGGAAGTGTTCCTGGCTCACCAGTAAAAGCAGGCGAAAGTGAAACTATCCCTCTGACAAGGGTGCTATGTGAGTTCTGAGGATAGCACCTCTCTTTCTGTGGCTGGGAGAAGGGAAAGCTTCAAAGAACTCAAATTTTGCTGAGGAGCTTTCCTTCCAACATGTGGAGGGGCATGAAGTGCAGACAAAGGGACTACACAGGCAGCTGGCATAGGGATTGATGCCTGGCATGGCAGGAAGGCCAGTGGGGCCGGACCATGAGTGTGGGCATGGCAGGGGGAGCATCCACATGCCCTGAGGGGGATTAGCATGGTGCTAGGGGTGAGGTGGGATTGTTTAGCAGAGAAGACCTGGGTTTGCCCTTAAAAAGATCCTTCTCCTGCAGTTCTGGGATGGGCATGGGGGGCAAGACAGGAAGGAAGCAGGCCACAAATTCCGTCCAGGGCTGGGAAAGCACAAGTGAACGCACACGCGCGCGCCCACACATGCTCGCACGCTCAGCTGCACGGGCAAGGGTAGGGAGCTGCCTGGATCCTGAGATTTCAGAAAGGCTCTGATGTCTCTTTCTAACTGCATATACCATTTGAGACTAAGGCTATGGAAAATGCTGTTTTTACATTATCTGCCCAGAATCTTGCACTGTTTTTCAAGGTGGTTTTCTTTTCTTTATTGTTTGACTCTTTAAAATGGCTTGCCTTCATCATCTCTGCAGGGATCGGTAAAGATTAGAAATGGACTATTTACCTTGTTTTACAAATACACCTCCCTCCCTACACCCCAAAATTATGGGGAAGATGAGCTGTCCCTGTGTTAACGCCTGAATCAATCCCATTATCTGTATTTCTGTGTGTGGTTAGTGCTCCAGCAGCCTAAGGCAGGAGTTGGAAATGACAGCCTTAGAGACAAGGAAGGCTCCAGGAAGGAGGGAGAGGAACGCGTGGTGATGAATAAGGCTGGTGGCACTAGCAGGGCTGATTTGGGGAACAGAAGGTAACAGAGGTGATGCTTCTATCGCTTTCCAAGTCTGGAAAGACGGAAGCCTCGCCAACTGGGATTCTGATCCAAGAAAAGATAAAAGACAAACATGGCTGGGGGAAGCAAAACACTGACACACAATTCCCATGGCCCAGCAGTGCTGACCTGCAATCTACCCCACCCCAAGGTAGTGCTTTCAATCCAGAGTGGGCCTTACCCCAGAATCACTCGGGAAGCTTCTTTGAATGCACAACTGCCATGCCCATCTCCCTGAGGTTCAGACACATCTGTGTCTGGGGGTGAGGGGTGTCCTCACTGCCCTGGCCTTGGGGAGGACACTTGGTGGCCACGGCACCTAATAAAGCCTCCTGTGGCAGTGCCACTTCTCCAGCAGAGTGACGCTGCCTGGCAAGTGAACCCAAATCACCTCCCACAGACAGCAAGGGTAACAGAGGTACCCCTAAAACATTCTGGGCCTGCTTCTGATGAGGTTCAGGGGTATAAGCACGTATATGCTGTATTAGAAGCCCAGAACACACAGACATCCCTAACTCAAAAATGTCACAGAAAGAGAAATTTCAGTGTTAGCCTGTTTTCTCCTTAGGAATGCCAGAAACTTTAGAGGAGAAACACGTTTTTATAGTCAGAGGAGGAGTCATTTCTAATGCTTTAAGAGAAGCTGCCCTGTGGTAACGATGACATCTCAAGTAAGGAGTTTTGGAGCAATTGTAAAGCCACATGGGAAACAAAATCAGACCCATTCTTTACCCAGCAGTGGGAATAAATAAACCTGAGCACATCTGGTATCTAAACAAAACCAAACCAGGACCAAAACTGAACAAACAAGGACAAAAGAAAGAAAGGGAGAATGGAGAGGGCAGGAAGGAAGGAAAGAGGGGCGGAAGGAAGGAAGGGAGAAAGGAGGAAAAGAGTCCACGTACTGGAAGGCGACATGAATGCACCCCTTTATGATTTGGGAGTGGGAAAAACAAAAGTGTTTGCAACTTCATTTATCAGAAAATGCACCAAAATGTAAACAGTGCAGAACTGTCAAAAGATAAAGAAGTCCTTCCGTACATGAAACGAGGGTCGGCCTCCTTCATGACAGCATGACTCAGATGGCGGAGGTGAGCCTGCTGACGCACTCTGGTGACACTTCACAACATGACATAGGCCCTGCCCTTCTACCTCACAGCCTCGCTTCTCAGGACTCACAGCAAAGATACACGGCACAATGACAAAATAATGCAGCACTTTGTCTTATAACATTCACCTGGAAACAGGGTAAACATCCCTCAATAGGGGACATTTTAAAAAGAGATGTTCCATGTACATAAAAGAAAACCCGAGACTGGGAAATAAATGCGGGCCATCTCCACGCGCTGCGTGAGACGCAGAGGCTTCGGGAACCGTGTACTGCAGTTCCCGCAAATTCCGTTTGTTCATGTTTGTAAAACGAAATGATAGAAGGATAAGCAAACACGGATAAAAGCTATTTATCTGTTACAGGGGTTGGGAGGCAGAGTTGTGTGGACAGGGCTTGTGCCTTACTTCATAGATCTGATTTTGGAACCATGAAAATGTCTTACACAATTTATAAAGCAGCATTCAACCAAAGAGAAAATAAATCAGATCCACTCACAAACACTAAAGAGAAACTGAGACAAACAAACCTGATGTACCCAGCACTTTGGTGGCAGAACCACAGAGAATTACTTTAAGTGACTTTGGGCAAGGTATTTTAAGGTAACCTGCCCAGATTAATCCTTAAGGATTAAAAGGACTGCAAAGAAATCACAATTTAGTAGTCTTACTAAATTAATATCAGCATTAATATTTTCCAGATACTACATGTATACATTTTACATTATGTATTGATAAAATAACAAGTAATAAGTTGATGCCATTAACAGAGATCATCGGAGGAAAAAAAAACAAAAAAAGAAGTAAAAAATCCGGTAATCTCAAATTTGAATTAACATCATCAAGTGAACCCAAAATTTATTTTTTGTTTTAAAAAAGCCCATGTCCTAGCTCTGTTCACTAAAAAGGCCTAAAGATTGTAGTCTCTAAATTAATCATTTTCCTTTAGAAAGAATCAGGGTCCCTAAGAGAAAATGCATCATTTGAGTCTAATACATCTTTTTCACCCCTAAATCAAATACCACTAATGTTGGCTCAAAAGAACTCAGGAAGCAACTTGAAGGAGCCGCTGGCCAACGAGGGGTAAGTGAGCATCAGAAGAGGAGGTTTTGACTGAAATCAATCAAGACACAAACATCTAAGTTCATAGTGACAGTTTAAACGAAACCCAAACAAACAAACAACAAACACACCCTTGTTTGTCTCTAGTGGGAGATGGGAGAGCAGAAACTCTTTATTCTAAAAACTGACAGGGGGAAATCCAGGCATTTACCTACTTTTTCCAGGAAATGTCTGATGAAGGGAAGGACTCCAGCTCATAAAGGAAGGAATTAGAAAATGATGATTTTGGAACCCCTAATGCAATATTGAACCTGGGCAGGTTCACCAACGGCTGCTAAAACCACGCAGTGGGTGGGGACATCAGCCTCAGTGGAGGCTCCCGCTTGCTGCACTGGAGCCCCTGCTCACCCGACACCACTGAACAGAGCCAGGCTTCAGGCTTCCTCTGCTCCAGGCAGCAGAGCTCCCAGTACCCACCCTGTGGACACCAGGCAGGAGAAACGCATCTGATCACACCATGACCACCACTCCCCAGGAACCAGGGAGACAGAGGAACTTATTAAAATAAACCACACACATGCTTTTAGCAAATGACCCGCTTCTTTAACAAAACATATTAAAAAAAAAAGAAAGAAAAAGGGAGTGTTGAGAAAGACTATTCTATATCCAAGGAGACAGAGGTGACATGGTACAGCATCCAAATGCCATTTGTGGGTCCTGCCTTAAATAAGCTAAATTTAATTTAAAGGAAGTTTTTTGGTGACAACTGGGGAAATTTGAACATGGATTAGCTTTTTAGAAGATAAGAAATTTTTATTAAGCGTAATAATACTGCAATTATATCAAAACAAAAGGGTCCTTATTTTTTTAGAGACAGGCACTGAGATATATTTACTCATAAAATTTAGAGTATCTGAGACTTCCTTTAAAATAGAAGAGGAGGAGAAAGAGGAGGAGAAAAAAAAGAAAAAGAGACATGAAGACGAGAAGGAGGAGGGAGAATGCGGGAAAGGGAAGAGATGAAGTAAGTTAGCAAACTGTCGGAGCTGCACGATGTTTAGTGGGGGGTTCGTTATACGCTTACGTAAATTTGAAAATTTCTATAATAAAACTTTTTGTAAAACCAAGGAAACAAGAATGACTCTTTGAGTTTAGCAGCCTCCAGGAGCCTGTGTTTTGAGCATTCAGACCCTGTATGGGACAGCTCACACAAGGCATAAAACTACTTCCTCAGGGAGGAGGACCAGACTGGGTCTCTTTCTGGAGGACTCTGCTGGCTTCGCAGTGTTGGCCTTCTGTGGTAACTGTATCCCATGTCCCTGTCCCTGACTACACACTGTGGCTAGCTCCTTCCCAGGGTCATTCAAGTGTGGCCTTGGGATTTGCTTTGGTCGATGGGACGGTTGCAAATGTGATGCTAAGAGAATCTTGAGAAGTCTTGTGCATGTGTAGTGGGGTCTAACCTCTCTTGCTACACCTGGGAGCCTCAAGTAACCTGCTGCAGACACACGCCCAGCCACTGGTCACCACCGCAATAGCCCACAGAATCAACTAGACACGAGGGAACCTATCCTGGACTGTCTAGACCCAGCCAAGCTGGCCCAGGTGAGAAAGGCCACTCAACCAGCCACAATCATGACATGTGATTTACTTTTGTTGTGTTAAGTCACTAAGGTTTGGGGCTATTTGTTGTGCAAACCAACCTCATATAGTGCATAAATCAAAAAGTGTAGGCAAAAGCATTTTTTTTCCCCATTTGCCCACTATGTTATGAAGGCAAAACAACTAACTTGTGTTCTCCGCCTGTTCAGATTTCATCTAGAGGTGAAGGATAATTACTGTTACAGTCCACGCAGATGCGGATGAGATCCCTTTCTGCCCCTTACTAGCTGGGCAAGCTCTGCATAACACGTATACCTCTGGGCCTACCTTTTCTCCTCTTTAAAATCAGGACAAAACTGCTGCCTACCCAGCAAGGACGTCTGAGGAATTAAAGAAAACAGATCCCCAGCACAATAAAATCTCAGCAGATGACATCTCTTATCAGTGGTGGTTCCTTACCCATCCACGAGCCCTTGCTGTTTAATGATCCTGTGGGATTCCTCCCTGGAGATCCTCCCGTGAAACCAGTGCTGTGTCCTGTGAATCACTGTGGAGGGAAGAGACAAGGACAGGGTGGATGGCGATGCCTCGGCAGCACGGCTTCCCTGACAGTACAACCAACTCTGATCAATGCAGAGCCCCCGACTCCCCCAGCTACAGCGTGTGTGGTACACGCTGCGCACAGGCAAATTCATAAGGCTCAGGGGGAGTGGAGTGGGGTGCTGTTTGATTTCCTTTATGGACAAAAACGTCAGGCAATGTGCCCTGTTTACCTGTACTTAGGGTAGAAGGGTGGAGGGGACTTTGGCTACCTAGGATGTTCATCCGTGTGCTTCGCTTCTGCAAAAGAAATTCCATATTAGCACCAAGGACAGCAGACAGACATACCAAGTCACCCAATACGTCCAAGCTCAGGGCAAGGCACTAGGCAGGGTACCTGACTGGGCTCACAAGGGCCCTGGCCCCATCTGAAGCCCCCGCTGACCCCTGGGAACAAAGAGCTTACGGTTCTCAGTTGTTAAGAACACCCTGAGATATCGCTGGCTGCCCCAGTATCAAAGTAGAGATGCTTATTTCTCACACTAAAGGCATATGATGAAAATGCCATGAATATCCTGGTAAATCTCAGGAGAAACACATGAAGAAGGCTCATTCTATTGCCCAGGCTGGAGTGCAATGGCATGATCTCAGCTCACTGCAACCTCCACCTCTTGGGTTCAAGTGATTTTTCTGCCTCAGCCTCCTGAGTAGCTGGGACTACAGGCGCACACTACCACGCCCAGCTAATTTTTGTATTTTTAGTAGAGACGGGATTTTACTATATTGGCTAGGCTGGTCTCGAACTCCTGACCTCGTGATCCACCTATCTTGGCCTCCCAAAGTGCTCGGATTACAGGCATAAGCCACCACTCCCGACCGAGCCTTTCTATTAAATTCATGCAGTTCTCAAAACACTGGGCTCTTGACTCCCCATGCTTGGGACTTCCTACTTTTTCCCAACCCCTGATGCTGAATATTACAGAAAATGCCAGACTCCAGGCTCCTGTTTTGCACATGGCCTTTAAGTCTCAGGAGCTTGGAAGCTGATAGTCTTCCCATCTGGAGATTAAGAACCTGAGCCTCAGAGGTGAGGTTGCAGCCTAAGGCCTCCAGGCTGTTAACAGTAGACCTCGATGTGAATGCCTACTGGCCCCACTCAAGCCCAGGGTCTGTGCACCCTACAGACAGCCACTGCCAATTCATCAACAGAACAGCTCTGCACAGGAGCCAGGGTGGGCAGGGGGCTCTAGTCCTCTCCTGTCCCTTTCACAAAAGCCCACAGGACAAGGGAGCAGTGGGGGAAGGCTGGGTGCTGGGAACGCAGAAGGGGCCTAGAAGGGCCGACTGCTTCCTGCAGTTGAAAACTCATAGAGGCCCTCCACCCAACATGCCACCCCTCTTGCCAACCCACACAGAGCCATTCCTCTGGGAGAAGAGAAGACCACATGGTGAGGCTACCACCTCGAGGGCACCCCTCCAGGTTGGCCAGGGCTGGGACTTTACCCTCCAGGCGTGGCCCTCCTCCAGGGCAGCACTCTGGGCCTCTGCCGGATTCTCTATCACGCGTCCTGTTTGCCCAGAAAAATCCATTGCCACAAGGGAGTTCTCGGAGACACTGCGCTGGAAAGGAAAGGCCACGGGTTCTTTAAACATAGGAAATTAAGGCAGAGCGGAGTCTTGGCTTAATTTCTGACAGTCATCAAGACAGTCAGGAAAGGAAAGCAGGGAATGCCCACTTTCCACCCCTCATCTCCCCAAGTTTCAGGTGGGAAATTCACTGGTTCAGGCTGAAAATTCAGAGACCTCTTTGGTTTTTCTTAAGAAGAATGAGATACATTCTAGTCCTCACTGAGTATTAAAGGCTGCTGGTGGGGCCCTGGCACGCCCAGGATTGGACTGTGTGGTCCTTCACTGGCTCCTGACCTTTACTCCAACACAGCAAAGAAACAAACAGCCAACAGCTGGGGTGAGCCTAGGCCTCCCCAAAGAGTCATTCCCCTGGGGATGGGGGTTCAGGGAAACTCGTGGACTCTTTCTGCGGCACCACTGGGCATCTCACAGAGCAGACACTAAAGGACCCTCAGGACTGTATTTTGAGAAGATGAAGTGCTTCTGCCCCTCTGAGAAGCAGAGTGCCCAGAACATAAGAGGAATGATGACAATCTCTAAAGTTTTACGACTGCAGCGTAATAGGCAGCAGCTCCCATGGGTCCCAAGGCTTAAGGAACAAAAGCCAAAGGTAGGAAAGGCAGGGCCCCACAAGGACCAAAAGTTGTTGCTGCCATTTTTGAGCACTTAAAGAGAGCCACCTCCTTACACAACCCTGAGGGAAGACGCAGGGATGGGAGAAGGATGGCAGAGGGATGTGCTCCTTGCAGTTCCACTGCCGAGACTACAAAACCCACATCACTGTGCCACGCAGTGGCTTCCCTGAAATGCGCAGACACTCTCCGGAGCTTCTCGTGCCCACCTCGTGTAAAATGAGGTATCCTTAACACATGTGATGTAGCAGCGGAAAAGTCACTAGACTTCTGAAGGTCCTAGCTTTACTTACCACTGGCGTTGAGAACGGGGACAGCAAAGCCTTCCTCTGCTGAGGGATTCGGTAGTTCTGGTAAAGGAGCATTCCATACTGGAGGGGAGAAGCCACAGTCAGTCACCGGCCCAGGAGCCCCGAGGCCTGGCACTTGACAAATGCCACGGCAGGAAAGGGCAACGCTGAGTGCAGAACAGGGAGCGATGCCCTGAACCAGCCCAGGAATCTGAGTGCCGCTGACCCTGATTAATGCAGGGGTTAGGGGGGAATGACGCCCCTTGAAATAAAAAATCCGAGTACAGCTCTTGACTCCCACGAAACTTACCTACTAGTAGCCTACTGCTGATCAGCCTTACTGATAACATAAACAGTCAATTAACACATATTTTGTACGTTATATGTATTCCATTGAAGCTAGAGAAAAGAAAATGTTAAGACAATCATAAGAGAAAATACAATTATGGGATTGTACTGCATTTATTGATTCTGTAAGTTTAGGCTGTGTGTTTACACAATGAACTATCTGTTTGATGTGGAAGGCAACCATTCAATCTCTGGTACTTATCAAGCAATTTAAGTTTCTCTTATAATATCATGATCTTTCCCTGTTCTTGGGAGCACTTCCGGCTTCCCTAGTGGCACTTCTTATGGATCCCATGGTGTTCTTTAAAGTTCCTGCATTGCACTCCACATAATGAAAAATACTCCAGAAACATGAGCCCGCTTTTCACTACAACATGCAATTTACCGGAGAGAAGACCTGCTCACGGTGAGGTAATCAGCAACACAAGGTGGGTTTTTAAATGAACACCTGCGACATCTAAGTTCACTGTAATAGCAACAGGAGGTAGCTACAAAATTATCATGGTAACACAGCAGGGACTGTAATTAATTTTATGCAGTTCTGAGTTAACCCTGCAACTTTACGTTGGTTTGTATCTCCTGACTACAAACGGTGCCATGTAAAGTCTGTGTTTGTTTGCATTCAGTTTTGATACTTTCAACTTTTCGTAATAGATTTATATGTATTTTGCGGCAGTAAATAATGCGGACTAGTATCAACATATGCATGTATTTTATGCCTTCATGACATCTGTTTCTCATTTTTTTTGATATTTCCAGGCTATGCAGTTTGTCTTAGAGTCTTCTTGAAACATTCACAAGTCTCAAAAGTACTTCCAATATCTTTATCAAAAAAAATAAATCTCTAAGTGGACCTGCACAGTTCAAATCCATTCAAACCTACGTTCAACAGGGTGCACGCCTCCATGCTGCCGCTATTCCTGCCCCTCAGGAGGTCAGAGCTGACTGGTTCGGGAATGAGCGGGACAGGGCAAACACAAGAGTAACAACATCAAGAACAAGTCATCTTATTGAGTGCTACTGTGGGCGAGCTAGGAGTCTAAGTGCTTTATGTTGCTATTTCATTTAATCCTCTGCATTTTCTGAGCTGTATACTATAATTATCCCCATGTGCCAGGGCACAGAACTGAAGCACAGAGGAGTGCGGCAAGCTGTCCCCCTCACGACTCTGAACATACACGGCCTATTCCAGACCCAGTAGCAGTGCCCTCCCTCGCTGAGGCTTGCCACCTAATTGCTCAGCAGTCTGTGCTTTACTGACGCTGGTATGCGGCTCAGGGCCCTACAACGTCTCATACACATCCAACATTCCAACCTACACACCTGAATCCCACATTCTAACCAGGTGGAGAAGAAGAAAGAGTCAGAAACAGGAAGTGAAGTCATCAAGTAGCACACCTCTTCCTTCACGGGATCTAAACTCAGTGCTGCCTCTAGGTCTCATGGCACATGTTCATTCCTAGGATAAAAATACCTAGAACATGATGCAAAGGTCTAATACAGGAACAACTGCACTCCAGCGAGAGAAGAGTGAGAGCAGGTCAGTAGAAATATTTTATTGAGATAATGCCAAGAACATCCCAAAATTGACACAAAGACATCAGGCTACAGATTCAGGGAACAGGGTAAGCCCACTCCAAGCAAAGCATGGAAAGATTGCTGAGAAACAGCGATGAAGAGAATGTCGAAAAACAACCAAAGGGAAACATGCATTATTTTCACAGAAGCAACGGGAGGACAGACAGCTCATGTTTTTACATAAATCACGAGATTCAGAAGACAATGGAGTGGGAAGATGCAGAAGAGAGTAACTGCTAACCTCGCATCCCATAACCAGTAAAAAGTTCCTTCAAGAATGGAGGTGAAAAAAAAGTAAGAAAATTTCTCAGGCCCACATGAAAAGAATTCCTAAGTTGAGGTCTCTGAGTCCCAGAGAAAAGAATGCAAATTCAGGAAAGATTAAAGTGCAAAGATTTAGGTGATTAAAATTAAAATTGAGAATATAAAATAACAACAACAACAACAACATGGTATTTTAAGAGGCTTTATATATATGACAAGAATCCTTCAAAAAGGGTAATGGAGGGAATGGCGCAAAAGGTGCTCATGCCTGCCTGAAAGCAGTCAGTAAATGTGCTGCATCGTAAGAGATTCAAGTTCAAGGTGCATGTTAGGCTGGGCGCAGTGGCTCACGTCTGTAATCCCAGCACTCTGGGAGGCCAAGGCGGGCAGATTGCTTGAGCATGGGAGTTTGAGACCAGCCTAGGCAACATGGCAAAACCCCATCACTACAAAAAATACAAAAATTAGCTGGGCATGGTAGTGCATGCCTGTACTCCCAGCTACTCGGGAGGCTGAAGTGGGAGGATGGAAGTCCGGGAGGTTGAGGCTGCAGTGAGATGAGCTCATGTCACTGCACTCCAGCCTGGGTAACAAAGTGAGATCCTGACTCAAAAAAAAAAAAAAAAAGAAAAAAAAAGAAATAGAAAAAAGATGTGATATCTAGGGTAACCATGAAAAAATAGTAAGTGTACATTTAAGTATTGGGTTAATGGAGGGAAAAACATAAATAAATATACTTAATAAATCTAAAAAATTAAGAGAGAAAGGAATAGAGGAGAGGCAGGACAACCTGGAAAAACTGCAAATGGTAGGTTCAAATACAGATATGGTTATCACGCTGAATAATACAATTACATCACAGTAAATGTTTTGGACGGTGGGGGGTGGGGAGCTGGGGAGGGATAGCAGGGGGAGAAATGCCAGATGTAGGTGATGGGGAGGAAGGCAGCAAATCACACTGCCACGTGTGTTCCTATGCAACAATTTTGCATGTTCTTCACATGTACCCCAAAACCTAAAATGCAATAAAATAAATAAATGGGGAAAAAAGATTATCAAAGTAAAATAGCCAGTTATGTTGTGCTTATAAGAGATACTCCTTAAACATAAGGACCCAGAAAGGTGGAAAAAAGATGGTCCAAGAAAAACTATGTCAACACTAATGAAGCAAAGCTGAGGTAAAAACCATTAAATAAATTAATATGAGCTGAGATTAGACTCTGGGGCAAGGAGCGCTGCTGGAGATAATAAATGGTATTTCATAATCGTCTTACAATTGACATACCAGGAAGATATAAATACTCTCGATGTTGGGTACCTAATAACACACACATTTTATTTTATTGACGTTTGCATGTATATATCTAGGTATATGGGTGTGTGTAGACAGAAAATATTAAATGGTAATAAATGATGGTTGCAAAGTTTCAGTGTTGTGTTCATGGCCTTTTCAATGTCAGGTCGTGTAAAACCAAAGCAACCACTACTAGGGACTCGTGCATGGATGAGGCAAGACCTCCCTCTTGGGGAAGAACTGCTACAGCAGATTAAACGACTTCTAGAAGACAGAGGGAGGATGAAAGCTGGTCATAAATGTTTCAAAGTTTTAATGCTATTCACACAGCTCCTATAGCATCCAAGAAATTACCTAACAAACAATGTAACAGGAAGGAATGAAACAAAAGATTATCTGCTGGCACTACCTACTAAGAGCACCTTTCTGAAAGGCTGAGTATGGTCATGCCACCCTTCTCCTATGCAGATCCAAGCTATTAGATTTATTCATTTTTTTTTTCAAGAAAGTGAATCTGTGTGGGTAAAGATGTAACAAGGTCCTAGGTTAATTCCAAATAACAACCCAGCTGTGCCTTTCCATGGTTGATAGGGAGATGCCATCTGGAGTAAATGGTAAAAGGTCCCTGTCAGCATCAGCCCTCAGACCCTCTTATCCTCTAAAAGGGGATCCAGTGTCCTGTGTCCTCATCTGGAGGAAGCAGAGCACACACATGGGATGCCTTGTTTTAGAATAAATGTCAACATGGAGACCCTGGGTCACCAAGAGTTATTCTCCCCGCTGTCCCTAACTCTCTCCACGTAGCGTTTCTGTATAGTGGGTAATGAATCAGTGCTGACAACACTGAAATAGCGTTTTGACTGCATTAAAACCCTATGGCTGTTTGGGAAGGAAAGCTGTTGCCGCCTGCATCCCAATTTGAGACACGGCAAGAGGGAGGAGACATGATCAGAACACTGTAACAATAATACACTTGCTCATGTCTGTGCTTTTCTCTCAGCCTGTTCAGTAACGGCAAAGGGCCTGGGGGCGGAACAGGCTGGGACGGAAAGGCACCACTCACACTCCACTTGAGACTGGCCCCGAGGCCGGCACTGCCACCGTCCTGTCAGGTCTGGCTCCCCAGCCTCCTGTAAGAACAGCACTAAGACACATGCTTAATGTCTCTACAATCTGTGGGTCACTGCATGCAAAGTGCTCCCTGCAAAGTGGCCGGGACAATGGGAATGCACTCAGAACGGACTGCCACTTCCTGGTGGCTCTAGGGAGGGCAGCAAAGCATGATAGTGAGGAAGGGGGTTGGGGGCCAGAATGCTGAGGCTCTGACCCTGCTCTGCCACATGGCGGCAGCCACAGCACGGGGCCTCAGTTTTATCATCTGCACAATGAGGATAATGACAATTACCTGTCACTTAGCTGTCATGAGGAGCAAAGCGATAAAGAATGCCTGGTCTATAGTAAATGCTCAAAAAAAAAATCTTACTGTTACGTAACACATCATTGTTACCACTGACATCGACAAAGTCAGTTCGTTTCGCGTTACTGACTCTGCCCACATCCCTTCCTGTGACTCACGCTGCCACAGCAAAAGACAGACAGTTGCTCTTTTCCACCCAAGAAACAGTGGTTAAGAACCTGCTGCCTGGATTTATTATGTATTATCCAAAGTAATGGAATTCACAGCGTCTTGGATTATATGATCACTGTCCTTTTTCATTTCCTTTTTTCTGCCTTTTCCAAAACAGATTATTCATTTGCAGATTAAAATTTCAACCATATACAAACAACTTTAAAAGATTCCCCCGGCCACTGCCCCTACCTGCACAGCTGTCTCTCCCATCGTCTCTCCCTAGCAAGCGACCTCTTTCTTCTCTCCTGCAGTCTCACACAACGTTCATGTACACACCATTAAATACAAATACTCCCATTTTCGTCTCCCCTTCACACAAATCTAGCATACTCTCTATATACTGTTCTGCACTTTGCTTCTTAACTGTTAGTAATTTTTCCACCACAGAACACAAAGAGCAACGTCATTCCTTTTGGAGGTCCATGCAGAATACTGCCCTTGATGGACACTGTGTCACCTATGTGACCACTTGCACTGATAAGCCTCACACTGTATGATAAGTTACACTTACTCATACTGTGTGACTGGCTTACACAGTAGTCTACAATCTAGAATATATTAACATGGACACTTCCTCTTCCATTTTTGAATTAGTAAAATTTTGACTTTCATAATTCTTTTTTTATCAGTGGAAAAACAAACTAAGGTTCTGGGAGAGAGATACATGAAGCCCATCTGTGGAGCATTCAGTCTGGGCCCCCAACCTCCGATAAAAATGGCACTAAGACATATCCTTAATGTGTCAGGAATCTGTGGATTACTAGGTGCAAAGTGCTTCCTGCAAAGCGCCCAGGACGACAGGACTACATTCAGAATTGGATCTGCAGCACCTCCAGGAGAGTTCTGAGCTATGCTGCCTTCAGCTCCTCCATCTCCTTAACTGACTTCACCTTGAGTCTCCAGACCAGCTAAAAGGCCACTACAATTCAATGAAGACTAAGAGTTTCTGTAAAGAAATCCCTAGACCATCGTATCCAACGCCTCCAACTGACTAAACGAACGTCTCCTCTGGAGCCCCCTGGATTTTAGCCAAGCTCATCTGGGCCAGCTAACTTGTAACTCACAAGGACTCTGTGGACATAATTCCAGACATGTGGGGTATGGTATGTGTGCACAGGAACACTGTGGGAAATCCAAAGTGATTACAGTAAACAGCCATATGAAATCACTCTGGCAATTAGCATGAAATTGCTATCAAGGGCATTACTCCATATGCAGTTCGACGTGATAAATTTCCTTTAGAACTTACAGTCAGGAGACACTGTCTCTGCTGAGGAGCTACAGTGAGCTGTATAATTCATCATGTTGACTTCATGACCCTGGCTTCTTGGGAACCTGAGAATTGGTTCAGTCGTGAAAATAATGAACACCTCCTGTACTATCTCCTCTCTCCCTGGCCCTGATTTTTCGAATCCTATTATTCTAATCTAGTGCTCTCAACCAAGGGCAGTTCCCCACCCCCTGGAATCAGGACACATGTGGCAACATTTAGAGACGTTTCTGGTTGTCTCAACTGGCCAGGCATGCGACTGGCACCTAGCATACAGAGACCAGGGATGCCACACTGCTAAGTGGCCTGCAATGCTTGGATGTCCCCCAGATGCCCCGATAAAGAATTATTCCACCCAAAATGTCAGTAGTACTGAGTCTGGAAAATCTAACTCTAACCCATTTAATATTAGGCCCTCTGTTAAAAGCTCCTGAGATCTTGTTTAGAAAGATGCCTAACTACGTTTGATAAATAAAACATTGCGACAGAACAGTGGAAAAGTTACGAGCATGTTCCTGCCGGAATAGGCATCAGGTCCAGAGGCCAATTCTCCACGAAGAGATGTGCACTCAACACAAACCGCAGCACGTCGCATACCTTGAGGAGTCTGAACGCCGTCATCCAGCATGTCCTGGTTTGCTCATCCTCGGCACAGAGCAATCTCAGCTCTTTAGTTTCGTTCCTGACTTTGTTTGGCTACAGGAGGTAAAAGAAAGTCCTGTTAGGGCCGGCCGCGGTGGCTCACGCCTGTAATCCCGGCACTTTGGGAGGCCGAGGCGGGTGGATCATGAGGTCAAGAGATCGAGACCATCCTGGTCAACATGGTGAAACCCCGTCTCTACTAAAAATACAAAAAATTAGCTGGGCATGGTGGCGCACGCCTGTAATCCCAGCTACTCAGGAGGCTGAGGCAGGAGAATTGCCTGAACCCAGGAGGCGGAGGTTGCGGTGAGCCGAGATCGTGCCATTGCACTCCAGCCTGGGTAACAAGAGCGAAACTCTGTCTCAAAAAAAAAAAAAAAAAAGTCCTGTTAGCGTTATACAGGGAGTCAAAAACACAGCTTATGTCAAGGCAGGGCTGCATCTGACACAGACCAGAGACAATCAGCTGGAGATCCCCTGGCAAGGAGCACAGCAGATGCACACACACCTGTGTGTCAAGCGTTCATTCATCTACCTTCCTGACAAGCCTTTATTAAGCGCCTATCATGGACTGGCCCCAGGTTGAGGACCAATTAGCTGAATAATAAGCCATCCTTTGACTGGGAACTTCAGAGGAGACAGAAAAACGATCACAAGACAACGTAACATGGCAAGCACCACAGGACAAAGAGGAAGAGGTGTCTAACTCTGCTGAGGGACTGGATCCTATGGGAGGAGAATGTACCTTCTGAGTTCCTGAAGGAGAAATCTTAAAGTTGCCCCAAGGCCACTGAGAGGAGGGGCTGCTGCAGGGCTTAGCAAAGAGGCACAACCCCTGAGGAGCTCAGGGGTTCTAATATTCGAGCAGCCCCAAAATCAGCCCCCAAATAGAAGGTCCAAAGAGGGAGACTGATGTTGGGTCTGGAGGAGGAGACAGAAGGGGAAGTAGGCACCCCGAGGTAGGTGAAGACACCATGGGGAGACGAGAGTTCCCCTCTAGAGGCAGGGCCTTTGGTGAGGAAGAAGAATTGGTGCAGGGTAAACTGACTTGCATCTCCACGAGAATCCCCGATCTCAGACTCAAGAAACAATGTTGGACACGGCCCCAGCTCCCCCTCCCAGAAATCTACGGGGGTTGGGAGACAGATGTGACTACTCTGCACTGCGCTGGTGCTATGGCAGAAGCAGAGACTGCATTTGCAGAGACGCAAGCATGGCGGGCATGTGCCGGCGGGAGAGGAGTGCGCAGCTGCTGCTCCCACGTCCAGCCCTGCCTGAGGCCACCTTGGGCTTCTAGCTGGAGTGAATTAGATGCTTATCACTTACAACCGAAAGAGTTTTACCTGAGCAAAGTATGAGATGATGTTTTGGAAAGAAATTTTCTCCCAAGGAGGGGCTCCCCATGTTCTGTGTTCTTCTCAGGATGCAGCTTGGGCTATGGCTCATAAATCAGCCTATGAGGCAAACTCCAAGTACAGCTATTCATTGGCTGCCGGATGTGGGCAATGTGGCCAACTTTCTATCCCACAAGGGGCCATGAAGATTAGATAATAGATGTAACACTGTTAGAGGAATATCTCATGCAGAGTAAGTGTTCAGTAAATATCATCGACCATTATGATTATTAAATACCACCACAACCTTCCCAGGGGAAGAGGAGTGGACTCTGCCTATAGTTGTGTGGACTCTGCCCATAGGTGTGTGCACATGTGTATCTGTGTACATGTGTGTATAATGTACACGTGTGTGCATAGAGGTGCGTGTTTATGCATGTATGTATGTACGTGGGTGTGTGTGCACGCGTGTGTATGCATGCCAGCACACACATGCCTGCAGAGGATGGGCACTGTTGTGACCATTCCTATCTGGCTGTCCCCACGGTCAGAGGCCCAGGCTGAAGGCATCAGCTCACTCAGTACCATGCATGCAACCCAGCTGACATGCCAAGGGTTCCCTGCTTTACCCTGCCTACCCTTCCAGCTACTGGTACTGGGCTACAGCCACAGCCTACCCTTTGAAGCCAAAAGTCACCCTCCCAAAAACACTGAGCGCACTGGCCACATTATCCATCCCTGTCTGCTTTTCCTTGAGCTTCTGAGCTACTTAAGGACTGACTGCAGCAAGTGTACAATAAATGTTTTTACAGGAATGCATAAACCCAGTATGATACTATGTTTCTGTTGAAGACAACAGAAGCAACAATCAAGTGCTGGGCAAGAGAGGAAGTCAGTTTCTGGTGGGCTGCTGAGCATGTGTGCAGTCACTGGACAGCTCGTGGGTACCTTTATGCAGAGCCCGTAGTCTGTGGGGGCACTGTACTGCTTCCTGCCGGCGATCAAGTAGAAGATGTTGCTGTCCTCCAGGTCTGCCAGCAGCTGCAGGTGTCTGGGTTCCTGTGACAACATTGGCCAGGTTTAAGTCTCAAGCACAGCAAAGAGCAAACACGTTCACATCTGGTAGACAGAGGGCAGTCTCTGCACACTCACAGGCACTTTCCCTGATGACACTTTACATATTACATATGATTATTACATGTGCTGTAATAAGTGCTAATCTGAAACCAAATTCACCCAGCCTAACCCAAAACACCCACTTTCCCAATTCTCAGACACACAAGACTACTAGAATATATTTGATACTTCTGCCGAATCAAAGCCCCCTGACCAGAGATTCAGGATAAAAAGCAGGAGAAAATCTATAACCCCAAAGTCAGAGTTAAGGGCACGGGACCTGTCTGCCTTTGGTTTGTTGCGTGTCCCGAGTTTAAATGTACCCTGGGTTTTCCTAGTGGTAGCTTGTCCCACCCTTCTCCTCTTCAACTCTTCAGCCCAGCTCTGTTTCCTGCTCTAGGAAACACCCTCCTGCCTTCAGCACACATGAGGATGGTGAGCGGGTCACACAGCAGAGCTGGAAGGTCAAGATGCTACCATGCCCTGTGTCAGACCAAAGCCCCGCTCTGCAGATGACCCCTTCTCTCTGGCCCATGAGTCGGCAGCTGCTGACTTCCGAGAACCGGCTTTATGCTCAGCACCTGTGCTTGAGGTCACGCCCGCTCCCTTTCCCCTCCGCTGGCCAGAGAAAAAGAGACTGCAGCCCTCAGACGGTAAGTGCTCAGCCAGGTTGGGTGGACGTGGCCCCTACCACAGGGTGTACGTGGACAGCACGAGAAGACGGCAGGCAAGAGTGTACATGGGACCGAAGGAGATGCCGGCCTAAGCTCAATGCTACCAGCTCTCTTGTAAGGGTGCGCAGCTGATTTCCATCTCTCACCTTCTTCTCACTGGGCTACATGCAACCTGCAGTTTATTTCACAAAATGTTTATGATATGTAAAGTTACACTGGCATTAGGGTGGCAATAATCTATGAAAGATCTTTATAGCTAGCTTAAAGCCCAACTTATGAGAACCAAGCCAGTCTCTGAAGAGACGGGGCAGCCAGGGGGGGTCTGCTCCCAACCCACAGTGCGGGCAGGGCGGGGAGGTGGGGTGCTTAGGCCTGCATTATTTATTACCCAGTTGCTGAGGAAGACCAGGAGACCAGCGACTCCAAGTTTAGCTGTTGCACAATTAGCTTGTTACGAAATTGTTCTGAGCTTGGAGGAGTCTAAGGTGCATTTAAAAACGAAGCCCAGGTTCACTCTGAGGACCCCCGGTGGGGTGCGGCTGGGGCAGAATCAGGGCTGGTGGTGGTGGTTTTAAAGCTTACCTTTGAAGTTCCCTTTGTGGAGCAATAAAGGCCAGATCTCCGTAAACACACATAGAGCTTTTTCCATGATTTCTTTCCCAGCTCTTTCACATGCAAAAATCCTTGAATTTCAGGACAGCTACTGGAGTTCAGAAAATTCTGTTGATGAACAAATTTTTAAAATCACATAATGCTAACCTAATTAAAGCAAACATGTTAGTGGCATAGCTGACATTTTCTGAATGATTAAAAGACTCCTTTTTGGTCAATCTGAGGGTTTTCTCCTTTCCAAAGACTTAAATTCCCATCTCAATTGGTGTTGCATAGAACATAATTCGTATTTAAACACATGGAAGCAAATGGACCTTTCTAACACTAGTGATAATACGAGTCATGAATTTCCCTATAAGATAGTGCACCAAAGGATCCAGTCTGATATCAGACTGAGGACAAGAGCAAGTGACTGGGGCACTGGGGATTGAGGGCAAGTAGGTAGTGGCCACTTTTACCCAGGCACCCCTCCATCAAAGGGGGATGCCAAAGGTGTCATCCGTCTTCAAGTGATGCACCCAGGTGCAGGAGATCCTGGTGATGTCCCCCTGCCTCAGCTAATTCTTCCCACAGGAAGCCTTAAGAATAAAGGCTTTAACCCCCCAAACACTAACAAGAAACCATGCTTTTCATCAATGGGAAGACAGGCTGAGGGCCAGGTCACAGAACAGAGTCAGGGAGGTGATACTGGCAGGTCCTGCTATTAGACTGGGAGAGGACAAGGCTCTTTTCCCCGCAGGTGAGAAAGGCACATCAGACAGACCCCTGGTACACCCAGGTCGGTCCTTCTTAAGTTCTCAAGAGATCACTGCACACTTTCACAAAGCACAAAGAGTGAATCCTCTCAAAGCCAAGGCAATTAAAATGGAATCTGCCGCTTCACTGTTTGCTGTGCAAGGGTGACAACTGAGTGTTGACACCTCTCGCCAGAACAGACGCATGCTATGGTGGAAGGGCTTCTGAAGACACCACCAGGACAGAGCTCTGAAGCTCTTGTCTTTTAGTTGCTGAAACAAATCTGGTGATAACAACATAGAAAAAGAAGGGCTTACGAGCAGAATTCTGTAGGAACTAAATTTTAGTAGTTTCTCTTATTATGTAATGTCATCTGGATATTGTTGGTGGCCTTAAGAAACAGTTGAGTCTCTCACTTTTAACATGTACACAGGCACATTTTTAGGGTGTAGCTGTAACGTCCCCATTCCCTGCTCCCAGCTTCCCTGGAGGAGCATATGTGAGAGCAGAACAGAGGCCCAAAGGCTCTCTCCACTGGAAGGAAAGGTGGGGAGAGACCAGGTTTTCTAAGAACAGACTTTAGAAGCAGAAGGACAATTGAGCAAGTTTATTTGTAATGTATGGCAAGTTACTTTTAAAAGTCTCTTGTGGTAACCCGATCATCTTTTACTATAGACTCTGTGCTTTTGCAGAGATTTCCAAGCAGCTGTGCAGTGGCCTGACCTGGGAACCCTGCTCAGAAAGAGCTGGGAACCCTGAGACTAGGGCTTCTCCATGTACCCGCAGCCCACACTCAGCAGTGGCATCACTGGACTCATTCTAAGTCAGAGCAAGGGCATCCTGTGTGTAAGTGCCTGTTGGGCTTAGAAGGAACCAGTTACACATAGATTTTCCAGGTAAACTTTTAATTTCTGGTTACTCTCAACCCTCTTAAGAGCCAAGGCTATAAACTATGAAAGATGCAGCCTCTTCAGGTTTTTACAATGTTGCCGTTCAGTTCCAAGAGGATTTCTATGCAGAAAGTCTATTTCAGCAAAGGTCTATTTTGGCCCAGTACCTGCAAAAGCTGACTCTGACTGCCATTTGACTGCTGGCACCATGTAACCATCTGTTCTGGGAAGAAGTTCTAAGAAGATGGGGAAAAAAAAATACATGAAAGATTAGCTTCCAAGTGAGGGAAGGTATGTCATATAGATACATCAGTTTTAAAACTCTTCCTACCAGTATAATTATGAACACCTGTATTTAAAATGACAGTCCTTTTTATTATTCCATCACACAGAGGAAACACCTTCTTTAAAAGGTTGTATTTCATTTCCCAAAATGCTGGGTCCGAGTCTGGAATACTGACTATGTTTACTAAGGGATTCACATCTCGCAGCATGCTCCATGGCAAAGACTCCAAGCCCAGTGGCATAAGTGCACAGCACGAGATAAAGAATTCCTGAAACTAAAAGTTGAGCCCAGTCACGAGAAAACCCTTTTCTATTGCATTCCTCAAATTTCTTACATTTAAATAAAAAAGCAGCTAAATTATCAGAGTCAGAAATGGCCGTGGGTCTTCTCCCCACCTGCCGCAGCTCTGCCCATGCCTCAGGACGACAGCGAGTGCCCAGGAACTAGGAGGCACCTTCCCTATCCTGGCCTCTCACAGGACAAGTGCCTCTTCCGAACAGAGAAAAGGAAAGAGAGATCAAGGTCACTGGCTCAAGACACCAACCAACTGCCCTGATTTCTCTAGTCAACCTTCCACGTATGATGACAAAATATATTTGCTATTTGCAAACAATGAGTTTTTCTTCTGCTGAGTGCTTTATCAGTCTAACTGAGAACTTTCAAAATAATGGAAAATGCCCAGCTTCCCTAGCTCTTGTCTTAGAGACAAACCGCCTTTAGAGTGTCTGTTTGAAGAAGGAGACCTCTACCTTCAGCCAGTCCCAGGCACATTGAGTGAAGCACCAGAGACTGGGTTTCAATCAAGGATGGAACTTCACTAAACTGCAACTCCGATTCTCAAACCCATACACTACCCCATACCTCTCGCTCTCTGATACTATAAAATCCAAGTATAAACTTCAAGATTTCAAGAGTCCCAAACCCCAAACATGAAGACGTTAAGACTTACCACTGGATTTTTAAAGAACTCGTATTTTGCATAATTCTTCCTGAATAGAAATTTACTCTCACTGGCCATGGTACTCTCCACCTGCACCACCAGCTCATGGTCTTCCAAGCACCTCTCTGCAGGGGCAAAGCATCACGTGTGAGATGCAACAGGTGGGAAAACCATGGTAGCTTTACAACCACATGCAAGATGTGTTCAACTTTCTAGTCTTCTTTAAACATTATGAATAAAGATGAGGTCAGGAAGAAAACCAAATTTAAATCTCTCTTTAATGCACTACCAAATGTGTAAGAGGTCTTAAAACACACAGCATGAGGAATTCAGGTCCATACTTATTCTTTTTTTTTTTTTTTTTTTGAGACGGAGTTTCGCTCTTGTTACCC